GCCTGTTCCTATACTCATATGTATGCCAATGCGGATACAGACTTTTATGATCATTATGTTAAGTCGATGTTAAATTTTAAATTAACCTAGATAGAAAATCCGAAGCACTTAAAAAAGAGCAGAGCAAATGAACTTTAATTTAAGTAAGGATGCTTTTTTTATCACAATCTCTGTAAATGGGTGAGATAGAGAAAATCAAGCGTAAGTCGCTACAGCTTTAACCTATCAGTTTCGATAAGATATGCAAAAGCTAATTTCGAGAACAATAGCCTCGAATATTCAGTCACGGCATTTTTGATTAAAGATACAATTTATTTGCTCGATCCCTTACAGGGTCAAAAAATTTCTAAGCAAGTTCAAGAGAATTTTTATGTAAAAATTAAATTGGAGCTTAAATTTGTATTTAAAAACGGGATATTACATATCTCCATTAGAAGGCAATAATACCGTTTTAAGTAGTACTAGATTTAGATATTTTTAAGAAAACAAGGAACCTATACAAGAGTTTGACAACGCTCCAGTCTGAAAAGGATTGTGCTCTGATTTTCAATAAGTATAGTATCATGCCTCCTGACGACATGGCGAGTTTGATAGCTGAGATGAAAGATAAAAAGCTAGATGTGCTATATAAATTAGTCACAAAATTATTTCATCTAGAGAAAGAGCAGAATAAAGTGGGAAAAGAGCTCACATAACGTTTCTAAATGTGCGTGTGCTACTTAAGTAAGCCATAAAGGTCAGACATATAATGAAGAGATCTTATCTAGCAGAGCATTGCTTATTTTACTGGGAGAATGCGTTTAATGCAGTCGTTCTTGGCAATATATAGGCTTCGGAGCCAGTAGATTGGGAGATTTAGAAGAGAACGATTAGGTTTCTTATTCCCATTAAAGTGAAAGTCATCGTGGCTTTATGCAAGAAATACTTTTAAATATTGCTTTATTCTAAAATTATCATGATCAATTAGACTAATAGTTATATAAATAATGGTATTGGCTCATTCTGAGGCTCATAACGATATAAATAGAAATGTGAAAACTCTACCCATGATATCTCTCTCTTGGGAGACCGAGTCTAAAAAGGCGTCCTCCCAGAATTGCATGTCCTCCCACATCCGACGACCATTCGAATCTGATCCAGGCGTCAGTAGGTCCTCGAATAGATAGGTCCTGTCTACGGTAGCTTCAGAGTTTGTATCGCCTTGACCTTTCCTATATAGGTCTGAGGAATCTGCAGATGGCGATATATGGAATGAAAAAGCAGAAGGCGAAGAGTTGTTTGAAGATGAGGATACAATGGAGGTCACCGAGGCAGATGGTGGTAGACAGGTAGCCGGGGATAATGAATAAAGAGGTTGCAAGGCAGAGAATATAACTATGTCCTGAGGCACGTGAATCTCTGCAGCTTCTGTTGGGCTAGCTCCTTGGACGATGTTATCGCTATGACTATAAGAGTTTTCGAGCCGCTTACTTGTACACTCAGTGGCACTGTCATTGCAGTGGCTAGCCTCGCCGCCCGCAGCTGTAAGTGGATACTTGGAGTATGACGTAAAATGACCGACATCGGAGTCTGGGCTTGTAGCTTGGCTCGACACAGTAGTGACGAGGCTCATCGAGGAAATAGGGTTTTCGTGGGTATTTGCATTTGGTTCCATTGACATAAAGACATCGGTAAGGAGAGCTGGATGAGCTGAAAAGGCGGTACCAGAAGAGATGCGGATCTTATTTTCGTGGCGTGGCAGTCCAAGAGACTGAAAGTTTTAATAAAGCAAGGAGAAGAAACATGATTTTATAAAAAGAGATATAATTAAGATGAAATAGTCAAGTCTAATCATGCTCCAAAAACATTTATTTTAACAATGAATCGAATAAAAAATATAACCTGATGATGATGTACTAGAGAAACTGTAAATTAGATTAGTACATTCTTGACTTTTTGTAGGGATTGTTTAAGTGCAAATTTTGATTAGCAAAATATTAGCTGAAAAAGATGACTTTGAGAGTACGACTTTTACCTTGGCTATTACGGAAGCGACATCTAAAATGAGAAGATTTATTAAACGAAAATGTGAGAATCAAAAAGTGAGAAAACATAAAGGAGTGGTAGCAGGAACCGCTAAGGGGGTAGTGACAAAATATGTATAGAAGAGTTATTTCATGAGTATACGAGAAGGAAATAACTGGAACTGTTCAGGGTCAGAATGCTAGGAGAATAAATCAAGTGCACTCACCACTAGGGCTTACTTGATCATTCAAACGCCAATGCTGGTCCTAAGATATCAAATTTGAAAGTCGATGTTTGTACAAAATTAAGGAAGGTAAATTTTGCGAAACTTAATTATGAAATATTGCATCCTCATGAGAACAGATAAACGAGGTAAGCAAACTAACTTTAAAAAGTACTGGCATATTCTGAACAGACTAGGAATAACTGACCAGGAACCAAGTAATTTATGCAACACATTCAATGCATTCGGTGAATTAGTTTATAGAAAGTTCACATTATAGTCTGTATAGCGCAGAGAATATGTCTGGTAAGATAATGGAATTTTACCAGCAGATAAAACCTAATGTATAGGCTCCATAATTATAGTAAACTAACTTGTAACTCGAAGCTGTCTAGCATAGTAAATCGTCACAATGATGTTAAGTTAATAGCAAGCTACATTCTAGTATCTAAACAGGCTAGGCAATGAATAACCAATTATGTTAAGGTGACTTTAAGTAAGGGTTTTGACATCAGCACGTATGTGCGAAAGTAATCAAATATAAGAAAACAAAATAACTAATTTTCTAAGCCTATAAGCTGTAGAAACGTAAAGAGGTTATCATTTTAATTTAATAATATGAATAATGTATACCTGCAATTGAAATACATCCAATAAAGCCGCAGATACGGGCAATGGACCAGAAGTAGACGTTAGTTTATCATCATTATTTGGTCGACTGGTCTCCGATTCTAGGCCAGACAGAGAGGAGTGTGAGTCAGGCGTTGATCTGGAGCCTGCTAGCATTGATATATGCGAAAGGTCTGTTTGGATAAGACGACCACGGTAATAGCTGAATCATAACAAGTAAAGAGGTAAAAGGAGAGAAGCAGCATTAGTAAATCGGTTGCGCTGGGAATGGCCATGCCTAGTTATGTCATTGTAGATGTTGGAAAATTTGAATGAATTCCGAGATAAATAGGCAGAAATTTTGTTATAAACAAAAGCGATTCGTTTTCCAGGGAGATGATATTACTGTTAATACTTGAGCCAAATATCATTTTGGGAAACACTACATTTTTTCGTAATGCTTCTAAGTCAAGGTTTAGCGTCTGATCTGAGTTAAATTCGAACAAACATATGCTATTTTAAGGTATTTTTTTGAGTAGAGTTTCGAGACTACCAGAAAATCAGTAATATTAGATGAAGGACTGGTAATAAAATTTTCTCACAATGATATGAGTAGAGGTGACGTTTCCATTGAATTTCACATTGCTTTACTTTCACAAAAGTTGTTCTCATCCAGGGTAGACTGCAGTTTCGACCTCGCATCGGTATTATCAACACCCCCAGCGGGAGTGAAACCGTGACAGTGCAAAATGGGGCTTGACACGTTAACCACTCGACCACATTGCCACGAGTGCCCTTTGGTCACAGGGCAGATGTGAATTTCAAGGAAGGCCAGGCCTCTTGCCATATCATATTATTCAAAGTAGCCTAAGTCGTTGCTAGCCTACCATTCTATCATAAAGGCAAATGAGTGTAGCATTCAAGTAGACTTAGCTAAAAGGAAAAAATATGTAAATCAAAACTCTTTGAATCCTTGAATAGGATTTGGAAAATGCGCATGTGTGAACACGACATTGCGTACCGATAGCCATTACTGAAACGGCTTTTTCTTGCTGGGAACAGATCATTATGCGTTAAACTCGGCTGCAATAAATGTTGCCTATCTGCAGATGACAAGGAAGCCCTGTCGGCACTAGTCGTCGGGCTTCCTATGTCTGAACCAGATGCCAGTATATGGCAGACAGTGGCTGGGCTTGAGCCCCTTGTGCTAGGTTGGCTGCGGATGACTTCATTGGGGGTCGATGGGGGTGCCAGGCTCAATTGAGAGTGTGAGGCAGGAGCAGAAGCGGGAGCAGAAGCGGGAGAAGAAGCGAGAGCAGAAACGGAAGAAGAAACGGTAGAGATGGAGGAAGGAGGAGAGCAACCGGTGTTCGCGAATTCCTTGCTATTCTCAAGGCAGGTATCTAGCCAAGGAACAAAATGCGTTTACAAAGAAAATGAAGTGAAGAAAATGAATTATTTGTCCAAGCGATAAGAAGCATGGAAGGGTATAAACCAAATATTGCATGCAAATGCTCGAAGCTGGTATAGTAAGGATGACACAAATATGAGTGACTGTTGTATGTCTACAGGTTGCATAGGAGCAGACACGAAGGAAAACAGAAAACGATGAGGCGAATGGTGAGGGTGAAAAAAAATATCGTAGATTTTAAGTAAAATAAACAAAGAAACGAATGAAGTAGCTAATAGCTTAGAAAAAACAATCGCTCAAAGATCTAGCAATCTATAAAAAATGAACCACAAAGGTTCATGTGCGATTAAAATGAAAAAGCTCACAAATGCTAGGAGAACGAATAGAGAACAACAGCCAAGGCGAATGAGTATGCATTCGGATAAAAAAATAATGAGGAAGCTAAAAAGATGTAGAGGAAAACGAATTGTCCTCAACTCGCACAGTAAGTAAAAAGTGGATAATATCTGAGGGTAACTCAAGCAGATTAGAGAAGAGGAGAAGTGCTAAAAGAATCAAATATCACATGGGCATCAGCGATAATGACAAAAAAACAAATAAAATAAATTTAAATGTAGTTTTAGGCTACCATATAACAAGGCAAATGAGAAATCGAAAGTTGCAATCTCATTAAAAATAATATGCGTATATATGAAGAAAAATTGAGTTTCGAAGAGTTTTTACTGAAATATTGTGAAATAACTTTCCATTTAGAAGCAAAATTTGGTTGGAAGGAATTCATGAAACGGTCTAAGCAAAAAATGCAGGAATACCATGTATGGAGGACAGTTTAATTGTGCAAAGAAGTCCTTGGCTCACCGTTTTGCGACCCCGATGAAACTGTGCTGAACTTTCGTCTGTACTGTGACAGATATCATCAGAGCAAGATTCCATACTTTGCGAAATAGAGCAAAAATATACTAAAGCCAGAGAAAAAATGGCTAGCTACAACCATAGTCATTTTTATACATTTAACATCATGATCTTAATGAGGCATCCCATGATTTGTTTGGCTACTTGCACCATACTCTACATGTTAGAAAAAAAGAGTAGTGTTACCCTCCCGAACCGGAAGCGCGTTCAAATGCAGCTGTTTCATTACACACAAAAATAGCGTACGCTTATCTAGTGTTGAATCATGTATGGGCTTATTTTATTGTCGATTAGGTGTATGTTATGCTCATGTCATGAGAAATATGATAGTCATAGCTAGATTCGAGTCTAATCCAGCCTCCTTTGCTTGGTAAGTGGCCCTTCCTGCACCCCTTCTCTCTCCCTTTCCTTATATCTATCCAACAGCAACAAATAGTTTCTACTTAGATTTATACACGTGTTCCTTCTATTCAGGATGTTGTTTGTTTTGTTGATTTCTACAGACTAGCTGATCTTACGCTTCGACGTGAAGTCTCCGTAACCCGTAAAACATTGTGTTTTGGACTAAACTCACGACTTTATTAAGTTAAAGAAGTGGGTTGACCTCGTTGTCGCAACT